TGTAATTGTGTGTGATTAACAGATTTGTAAGCAATGTAGTCAATCAGAAAGAAGGGTTTATTGCCAGGTAGGTTCACACGTACGAGGAATTTGACTAGGTGTCTTGGTGCATACATTCAAATAAAAAATAAAAATCTAAAAAAGTACACAGATAGCAAACTATATTAAGAACACTGTAATAAAAATATAGTAAGATAGCAATAAAATAAAGCAGTAATTTACATCTAAATAGAATGCAATAAATTATAGAAACTTCAAAGGTGAGCAAATATAATTTGGATGGAGGGAGCCTTACTTGAGCACTACTATAATAGACATCATCTTTTCAGGTAGGGTTAGGTAAACGTTTTTGTTTGAGTTAAGTTTAAAGTTTACTTTTGTTTGAACAGAAGCTGAAGCATTTGTAAGACGGGAGGGCTAGAACAGCTCTACAGGACCGTGTGGTGGGTTGTCTGCTCAGCAAGGCAGAACGGTTTGGCGCTCTGTAGACTGAGGCACCCCATTTGGCTAATGAAGTCCCAGACTGTCTTCACACCGCACCCCCACCCTGATCCACTATGAAATGTTCTACTCATGAAAGTAATGAGGCAGGGAGGGAGAAAGACTCTTTTGGCCACTGATAACCTCAGACTAAACTTGCAACCTTACGAGACAAGGGCCTAATATCTGGCCGTCAATCAGCCCCAGCATCCCTGGCTGGAGTGTTTAATTACAAGGATCAATTATTTACCAGCCTCCTCTTTCACTACTCAGTGCTCCCAAAAAGGAGTGTAAAGAAAAAAAAGAAGAAAAAGACACGACACAGACCCAGAAGAGGTTGTGGTGGCAAATTTGGTAGAGAAAAATTCAAAAATATATATTTCAGATGATACAGATTTTTGTTGAGGTGTTTGCACCATAAACGGCTAATGAGTCTGTCTGGAGTGGACTGTTACCCTTTTTCGACTACAGACAGCTTAAATGTGTATTCAGATAAAACACAATGCCATTCTCAAGCATGTGTGACCTATACATTTAAAATCTAAATGTAAATAATACAAATACAAAACCAATCATAGTTACAATTCAAAAATAAACACAGACATTTCAATAATATTAACTGTTTTATGTATAAAATGCATATGTTAATTTACAACGCCAACACAGCATTGAGGTCTGACAAGACACTGACTGACAAACTGTTTAAAATTATTTTGTAGAAAATAAAACTTAATACAACTTAATTTGTAAAGTGCCATTCTCACACTTATACAGTACTACAAAATAAAGTACACAAACTACTATAACTCCATGCACTTCATATTTACTTCTAAAGCCTTTCTTTGACTTCAGCTGCACGGCCCCAACAGCAACTGCAAGGCTTTTAACTAATTTGAAGAGACAAGATCCTATTACCTATTTGCTTGTACTTACAACAGCACTTCACCTGGCTGTTGCTGGGAATATAAATTTGAATACACAAAGTATTAGAAGATTAACATGTTGCTGCCCATGAACTGACTATCAGAAATAGAGTAAATAACCCAAATATTTAAATTCCCTTCAATTGCTGCCTATTGTTTCACAATAGAGATGTTATAAATGGTATGTTAAGTTTCTAAATAGTCTTGCACAAAAGTACACAGTGCTCTGTGTACTGTACACCCACCTCAGCTGGCCCAAAGTTCAGCTGTAAGACTTCAAACTAATTTAAAGAGACAAGATCACATTAACCCATTATATTCCCCTCTTTATAAGCTGGTACACTCAGTACCCACAGTACTCAGTTAGCACTCTGATAGGAGCCACATTTGAAGATATGCTGGATTAATTTGCATCAAACATTGATGCATTTTTCCTTGAACATCCATAATCTATGCATTCCACACAAAAAAACACATTTAATGTACAAATGTGGACTGCTTTTCATGTCACACATCTGCACATTAGATTTGTTTTTGTTCCATCTGGCATCTAACAAAGAAAATAGGCAACATTGAGGAGAAGCAGCTGGTGGAGTGTTGTGTGGTCATCTATCCACGGAACAGAGTGCCTCTTCATGAGTCCGGATTACAGCCAGCCAAATAACCCAAATAACAGGGGAAGTGAAAAATGTAGCACTAAACTCAGTCTGCTGTGGTTCACGGCCTTAACAAGCTACAACACCTGTGATTTGTGGTTTGCCTGTTTTGCTGTATTTCTGTGCTAGATACCTATTGTCATCACAAGTCCCTGGTTTATGCTATTTAAGGTTTGCAAGCTCCACATCAGCGACCACCTGCTTTCTACATAAACTGGCATTAATGTTTCCGTTACTTTCAGGATAACCTCACACTCCAAAATTATAGTACTTTGGTAGAATAGATATAAATACATAGTGAACCAGAATTACATTTTATAGATCATTTCATCCTTAACATTTAACAATGGGTTAGAAGGAAACCTATATGACTGTTATCAGGATGAATGTAACATTTCAGCCAAATAATTATATGAATGCTGAATAGTTCAACGGGAATTATGAACAATTAAACTGTGTCATTCATTCAACATTAAGACTAACATATCTTCTAGCCTATGTCTGTAAGAAATAATACATCTCCTGCCAAAGTATCATCAAAATAAACAGTTAAACCAATAGTTTTTATTTGCTTTATCAGGCTGTTAATGTGTTGATTGTTGAAAGCCTCTGATATTGATCCAAAAAAGTAGATTTAACACTTTGGCCTCATTAATTCCACAAGGGGGAGTGTGCTGAGACTGAAATGTAAGAGTAGGCGGCTGGTTTCTCCTTCTACAGCAGCAGCAGGGTTTTTCCCCTGGACTCTCAGCTGATGGCTCATTAATCTGTTCTAGAGGAGGTCCCCTACGCAAGCAGCCTGCGCCAGTGGAGGACTCCTTGTGCTTTATTTAAAAATATATATATTTTAATAAAGGTTTTTTAAACATTATAATAAAGAAAATCTAAACCTGAAATACATGTTGATGTATATTAGTGTTGCCTCACAGCAGTAGCCATGTTTAAAGCCTCTCTTTAAACTCTATCATTATAAAATGGCTCACTGTAGTTCAAAAGGGTTGCAGGTTCTACCAGTTTCATGGAGCATCCGGCAGATAGAGATGTCATCAGGATACATCTTAAAGTTACATGAATATCTGTATTCATTTCCTTGGCAATCAACCAACATGTTGTTGAGATATTTCAGTCTGGACATAAGTGAAGGAGCAAGTGTCTGACATTATCATCCCCTGGGCCATGTAATCAAAATGTTATCCTGTTCCAGTTTACATTTCATACAGAAATATATCAAAATAATAAAGAAAGCTGTTTTATAGCCATTGCATGGGACATATAAATCCGTCAGTGGTGACCTATGTATTTATGTGAATGTTTGCTTCCAGTAAAGACATATGGAACACTATCATTACAGATCCAATAAGCACAATGGTTATTTGCAAATTAGCTACCTTACACATTGTGCATCCTTTGTGGGAGGCAGCAGGGCATGGAAAGGCTCCATTTACAGAATTTGGTTAAACTACAGTATTTGCTCTGACACTCATCGTCACTTATCGTCACTCAAGTACTCTATTCCTACTCTGCTTCAGCTGACCAGAGCAATTACAGTTTGGTGATTATTTTACAATAGCCATAGAGATTATAACTCACCCTAGCCTCTGTGATTTTAGCGGGCATTTGTCTGATATCAGATATTCCTCCTCACAGCAATTGATCTGCTAATGACACCATCACTCAGCCACCACACATTTTACTGCTTAAAGACAGCACTGACAGGGAGTCAACATTTTTGATTGCCTGACTGAGGCTGCCAGAGCATGTGGCTGTCTCTGCCTAGTTAGAACCAGGGAAACAGCATATTACATGTGTCATCATTTTAATGAATAAATTAACAGACATCTGCAGTGAAGCAGCATTTAAAACATGACTTGTGGATGTAACCATCCAACATTTCCACAGAGCGTCACATTTAGTGAGGTGCACAGCATGTACTGTACAAAAAAACAAAATCTATCAAACTGTTTTTAATAGCATCTGATTGGCAAGCTGTCTTGGGACAGTTGGCAAATGGGCGGGCAGCGGAGGAGTTTAGAGGTGCTAAAGTTCAGGCAGGAGCAACGCAGCACCCTGTGTCCTGCCAACAGCCTACAGTGGCGCAAATCCTGACTAAGTTGTGACCCATGGCCCCCACCTGTCTTGACCATGCATTATATAGGGAGGCATCACTTCCCCTCCTATGCTGCCTACCACGCCAGAAGGCTTTTGACTCATGCCCATCTGTCCTGGTAGTACATAGGTGAGAGCCAAGCTGTCAGCACCCTGTCCAATGCATGTGTGCCTTCATGGGTTGTTATATAGATTGTGAACAGAAAGTAATTATCTTGGTAATCAGAATTATTATCAAGAAATGGTTTGTTTTATAATTGTTATTTTCACATTACAATGGGATACTACTGAGGTGTGAAGGTGCACACATTTGGAAACCTATATCATTACACTCTGATTTCTTTATCCAATTAAGAAATAAAAGAATGCATTTACTAAATTAACTAGACTCTAGTTGGTAATGGTGTTGTATGAAAATATATGGACGAGTGTCCTGACAGACATAAGAGGGACATACTCTAAGAAACACCTCACAGTAAGAGTTTGCATGCTATGCCATTACCACAGCAACCGAGTCAGACCAGAAAGCAATGCCTGAAAATACAAATACGACCTAATTACTTACTAATATCAGTGAGGGAAGTCTGTCCTTGAGATTCAGATATCAGATTTGCACAAAGGCTAAACATGTCCTATTTTTGAATGGGGGAATAAAATATTGGGCAAATAACGGTAAGAAAGAAGTAGAAATAACATCATTGCTTTTGTGTGAGTATTTTTACAAAGCACTCATTTAGTCTGAATGAATATTTGACTTGTTAGAAAGAACATCTTAACAAACAGTCATTTACTCTCTTTCAATAAGCTGGCTCAAATAACAAGGAAGCAAACGTACCTGACCTGGCTGGATGTCTAAGTAATGAAGCACCTCTTTAAGCATGACAGGTCTGTGAGGAGGCTTTTCGGATGAAACGGAAGACAGTTCTTCAGATCTGTCCAGGGGACCAGTACCCGAAGATGCACAAACTGTAGAAGAGTGCAGGCTTAACTTCCATGACCTCCATGCTCTCCACACAGCCAGATTTGTTTTCCGTAACATTGGATTGGAGCGAACAGACAGGTGGAAAATCATGATCCTTATAATGATCTATGGAGATAACAAGAGTGAAGTTATGAGATGATGTAAGCAGAAACATTGTGTCTACCAGTAAAACCATAGCATGTAAGCCAATTAGGAGAAGGGTTTGTAAAACTGTTTAATAGTAAAGTATTTTTAAAAAGTGAAATAAAGATTGCATTTGTGATAGTTATGGACTTCAAGTGACTAGGTTTACATAGTTACTAAGCAATTATTTGGAATATTTATCAAAATATCAGGCCTACATCATGCTGTGCAAACTGACAGATATCTTGTGCTGCAGGCTAACAGAGTAGCTTTGATATTTGCATACGTGATAGGAATTGTTAACTGACATTAGCAGCTGGACTCCAACCTGGGGTGTCAAACCAAAACAAGAGGGCATCACAGTTTAAACATTTCATGCCGGTACAGATCATTCTGAAGGTTAAACTCTTCCACAGCACACAATTGTGGCTCAATACAACCGCAATAAGAATGAGCATCTTTGCGTAATTAGTTCAACATTTTGGAATTCCTCATGAGCAATACTGCCTACAGTGAGCCAAATGGTTAAAAGGTATTCAGGTGTTTCCTGGCAACAAGATGCATTGAAAATGAGAGCTAAGCTAGTGATGCATGCCTCCAATGAGGTAGACATATCTGCATGGATTGAAGGAATTTAACAAGTTTGTGCATAGCATTGGTAAATGTAAAGAAAATGTTCAATTGCAGCAAACAATTACAGTATTTGAAGAGATGGCAATAACATATTGAGTGACAATGCTTGATTGCTTTCAGATTGTGAGCTAGACCTGCTGTACCAAACAGGAATTATTATTACATTTGCATATGTGCATCTAGACATAAATCAAATATATTAAATCTTTCAGTTTCAGGTAACCTATCCTTTACCAGAAGACCAGAGAACATATTGAATGGACTATTTTTTATCAGTGCCCTTCCACCTGACATAATAGCATCTTTGATCAAGCTAAGGTTATTAATGATCACATGTACAACAATAAGGAGGAAGCAGTTGTCATTTCAGTCAGTTGATATTTCTATCCCATAATGCTTAATACATCTTTGTTTTATGAAAGGAAATCACACAAGGAAATAAAAATGAAAATCTAAGAGATAAAAGTGTGCAAGTAAAACATTAGGGTTACAACCTAATAACACATAATATAGAATAAAGTTATATACATGTGTGGTATAATATACAAGATGGCTACTTGAGATGGATAAATGCCCAAATTCACGCACTGGTAGTTGTTAGCTCCCAACAGCGTGATTTCCTTGGAACTAACACGTGTAATTGGAATTATTGTTGCTATCTTTTGTAACACACATAAACAGTTCTGTTGTGAAGCAGGTAAGCCCCATATTTTGGACAAAAAACAAATGACTCAACATGGAGGAAATGTGCCACAGTTGTCATGCACACACTGACCTTCACAACCGAGTTAAATCATGTATGCGTTTGGCGTGACATTGGTCAATGCAAATGTATTAGTAGTGAAATACAACGTTTAAACGTCATGCATTGCTGCTTTATCACATGTGTGTAGTAGCTGTAACCTCATTCGATCAGCATTAGCTAAGCATTTTACCCTTGACGATGGAGCAATATCGTTGCTATGCTACCATGTTGACGCATGCACACACGCACTTTCGCACGAATTTACACAACATGACATGGATCATCCACATGTAAAAAATGTTCAACTAGGGTGAACTGTGAACAAGAAACATGTCTACACTTCTGGAAGTGAACAGTAGCTTACCGTAGTAGACCAGAGAGTAGCTCCGCCTCCATAAGCAGCATGTCCGGTGCGTCATCCAATGCCCAGCGTCTCACATCCAATCAGCGTTTAGAGAGGAAGAGGGCTTGTTTTTGAAAATATTGGCGCTTGCGCTAGCTATTACCGGGTATTTTGCTATGTCTAAGCTTTCCTAGCAAGTTCATCTTTCCCAAAACGACATAAGTGTGTCTTCTCTGAAAACGTAACTGTAGTCAAATGCAATTAAAGATCACCGTTGCTGACAAAAGGTAAGACATAACTGCACTCGACATAAAGAACAACAATTCTAACTGACCGTTGGAAGATGTGTAGGAGCTAGCTCAGTTAGCTAGCAGGCTTTAGCTGACCCCCTGCACACTTATCGTTGGCAGGTTGGCTTTTAATCGTTCACTATTGTGATGTGTGAATTCAAATACGTATGTTAACATTTTAAACAGCACTCAACTAACAGTAACATCTCTATCTCGTATGTTGTATTTGAATGTGAATTGAGAGTAGTTACTGGTCATTAACTGCTTGGTTAAAAGCATAACGTTAGTATGACGTTAACCAACAAGTCATATAGACATTCACTAAAACATGCGTTAGGTTTTTATTTGGAATTAATTGTCATGTACTGGTATTTTAATGTTGATGTGTGTTACATTGTTAACTATAGATAGATAGATAGATACTTTATTCATTCCAAATTGGGAAATGTTGTTTCAGCAGCATTGTTGTTGTTCAGGCATTTAAATATGAAACAATAAAAAACAGCAATTATATACATATCTACAGTAGACAAGACATATGTCCAAAAGAGAAATGTTTTCCTGTATTACTCCTGATACAATTGAATGTCCGTTTAAAATTATACAGCACAACAAACAGGGGCCTCAGAAATGGCCATAAATTCAAATAAAGACACAATCTAAATCTCTTCAACAAAACTAAACATAATAACCTTTATCACAGTATGACATCTATTAGCCCTCATTCATGACATCCGTTGTTTGGCTACAGTTATGTTATGTTGCCCTTTACTGACATGACATTGAAACAAGTTTGGGCCAAAAGCGAAATCTTGGACTCCACTATGGTTAGCAAGCATATCAATAATGATTTGCTATCAATAATTAGGTAAGACCAAATACTTAAGGGATGTTGAAAAACGTGTTGTTGTTGTTTTTAAGTCAGTCAAGTTAATTTTAATAATAAAATCATACATTACAGGGCTTATTGTACAAGAAACAACTCCTTTACTGTCAACAGACCCTTGAAACCATCTCCTGCTGTCTTCTGTCCATTTCCCCCTGTTTTTATCTCACTTTATGATTTACTGAGTTTAAGTTTTATTTAAAAAAGAAAAACCTACAACAGTGTTGAAATGTGTGATTTGGGAAATGTAACCCTTTGTTTTTGTTTTGCAGCATCACATTTATGTAAAGGAACCACAATGGCAAGTGACGTATGCAGCCATGTGAGGGTGGTAGTTCGGGTGAGGCCGACCACCGAGAGGGAGAAGACTGAAAACTGTCGAAGTGTGGTCCAAGTGGTTGATAACCACATGCTCATATTTGACCCCAAGGAAGAGGACATATCATGTTTTGGGTCACAAAGAGTCAGAAACAAAAATATCAACAAGAGGGCAAACAAAGACCTTAAGTTTGTTTTTGACCAAGTCTTCGGTGAGGAATCGACCCAGGATGACCTCTTCGAGGGGACCACTAAAGCCGTTTTGGATGGTGTGATGAATGGATTTAACTGCACAGGTAATACAACAATACTAATATGTTTTGTGTTATCGCTTTACCTGGTTGCCAAACATATTGGCATCCCCAATCTGTAAAGAAACAACTGAACAGCCATTTTTCCAAAATCATATAACATTATACTGAACTATTGGAATCCGACCCGAGTGTGAGCTATATCATCCCAAGCAGCTAATCTGCTGGAGTTAACATTTTGGCCTTTTGACCGCCTCTCTTCAAATCCAGCATCACCAAATAGTGAAGTTCAAATGCAGCTATGAGCCACAGCAGTAACCATTTTTTTTTTAGTAATTTCTTATCAACATGGCTTTCTGACTCACACTGTTGATTATTATTTGGAACTGTTGGCTGCTGTTCATTCACTTCACAACACTGTGTTTTAAATCAGCACAAATGGGACATTTTGACTCCTCCGTATACTGATGTAAACAGAATCCAACACTGTTTGGGCTTCAGAAAGCCATCATTGATTAGGGATGCCAGCGAGTATTCGAATATTCGTTACAGTCTCCATAATCGAAAAGTATTTTTAAAATTCGATTTTATTTATATATATTTTTTATTATTATTTATGGGTTTGTTTTTGTTTTTCGCTTAGTTTCAACCAAAATATAGACTAATGCTAATAATAGTAATAATAATTGTAAATGGCCATTGGTCACACCACCAGTTTGTTTTACTGTAAACTTGGAGGAAGCCAGCAGCGCAGGCTGCGCAGACTGCTGCACTCTGCGCAATAATCGATTATTATTCGCCAGGGCTGTCCGATTTTCGATTTTGATCATGGTCAGTTTCTGGCATCCCTATCATTGATCCATAGAAAGATGCTCGGATCAGCTGAAAATCTTGATCTTGTGGAACAATGTCCAACTAGTTTACAGTTTATTATGTACACCTAGCTTCACCAAATGCAGTTTGATTCTGAAGCCATGCAATACAGCCTATCTTCATGATGTTTTTATTGTTCAGCTTTTGTTAAAGCTGTTTTAGAGAGGGGTTTTTTCAGCTTTAGCGTCATTCTTAGGATGGAGTTTGTAGTGCTGTTGAAATAATGAGATGTTTCTATTATTTAGCATAGCCTCATTGATATAAATATAGGGCGAACAAATAAAAGAAAGACCTATCGGTTGTAAACATTAACTTTTAAATTAGATTTGGTTCAGGGGGGTGACTGAGTTTAAAGCATGTCATTCAGGTTGCGTTGTGGGTATTGCATACTATAGGCCTAATCTCAAATATAGGCTGATAAGAACATCTTCATTCTTTATCAGTTATAATTCCCTTAGCAAAGCTTTTCATAATGAGCGCAGTTTTTTCTTGGCTTCACAATGAAATATAATATGTATTGTGCTTCAATTGTTCACGTTACATAACATTAGGTTGTGGTTATGCTCTATCCAAACAAAGTAAGTTTGTTGTTATTGTTTTCTGGATAAGCATTGTAACTCTATAAGCATGTTTTACTTACATGGAACCTTGTCTTTCACTTGCAGTGTTTGCATATGGTGCTACTGGAGCAGGCAAGACACATACTATGTTAGGTGCCCAGAATGACCCCGGGGTCATGTACCGCACGATGACGGAGCTGTTCAAACGCATGGAGGATGCCAAGGAGGAGAAAGAGTTTACTGTTGCATTCTCATATTTTGAGGTGATTTTTTTCATTTTAATTTTCTTATTATTATTATTTTTCTGGTAAATACATTTTTAGACTTAGACTAACTCTTATCCCTAATAGAGCCTTAACCCAATCAAGCATTTTGTTTCAACTGAGCTCCTGGGATGAGTTTGATGGAGTTGCAGTTATATTGTTTGTTTACAGGTTTACAATGAACAGATCAGAGACTTGTTGGCGAATATTGGGCCTCTTGCAGTCAGAGAGGACAGCTCTAAAGGAGTGGTTGTTCAAGGCCTCACGCTACATAAGGTTAGTAGCAATATGTATTATACACACTCCCAATTAGCTGGGGAAGAATTATAACATCTGCTAATAAATAAAGATATACCTTTTTTAAATAAAAATATATTGTTCTATAAAATGTGGCTATGCAAACTAACTATTTAATGTTTATCTTCACTGTTCAGTTGCTGTGGTTTGCAAGAGCTGAATGGCCCTTTCTCTGGTTCACACACCATCCCTGATATTACCTTTTTGTATTTATATACAGCCCAAATCTGCAGCGCACATTCTTGAAGCTTTGGATTCTGGCAATCGCAACAGGACACAGCACCCTACTGACATGAATGCCAACTCTTCGCGCTCCCATGCTGTATTTCAGGTATTTCAATCCATTGTTATTAAAGAGGAGAACTTATGCACACCTGTAGATAGACGGCTGCGTAGGAGAAGGCCATTTGTCAACAATACATAACAAAAGGCTCTCTCACACTGTCTTCTTAGTAACAGTCTTTGGGTACACATACAGTGGGGCAAAGAAGTATTTAGTCAGCCACCAATTGTGCAAGTTCTCCCACTTAGAAAGATGAGAGAGGCCTGTAATTGTCATCCTAGGTACACTTCAACTATGAGAGACAGAATTGGGGGAAAGAATCCAGGAAATCACATTGTAGGATTTTTAATGAATTAATTGGTAAATTCCTCGGTAAAATAAACAGAACAAAAATATAAATGCAAATGTGACGAAGGTTTTCGTCACTATGGACTGACGACTTCAGGCCGGGTAATATGGCACTTTATTAGCGTGATTGCACAGTACAGTTGAGGTCTGTGGCTGATGATTGTGTGCACCTGGTGTCCTGTGTTGTCTCCTCCCCCCTCACCTGTGTCTTGTTGTGCTGATTTGAGTGTGTGTATTTAGGCTCTGTTCCCTGTCTGATTGAGAGGCTGGTAGTGTGTGTGAGATCCTGGTGGCGACAGGATGTGTGCAAGGAGAACAGCAGGATTGAGGCTGTGAACTTTGTGCACATTATTTTAATAAATGCCCACGCCGGGTTATATTTTTGGACGTTCTGCCTCTGCCTCCTTGCTTGGTCTGGGCCGCTCAACGGTCAGCTTCACAGCAACACTTTTGTTTTTGCTCCCATTTTTCATGAGATGAACTCAAAGATCTAAAACATTTTCTATATACACAAAATAACCATTTATCTCAAATATTGTTCACAAATCTGAAAAAATCTGTGATAGTGAGCACTTCTCCTTTGCTGAGATAATCCATCCCACCTCACAGGTGTGGCATATCAAGATGCTGATTAGACAGCATGATTATTGCACAGGTGTGCCTTAGGCTGGCCACAATAAAAGGCCACTCTAAAATGTTCAGTTTTATCACACAGCACAATGCCACA